TGTTGGTTGGTGGATATTTGGCTAGATGGACACACTTGTTTACCAACAAGTGGTATGTACGCAGATTGCTTCAGTGATTGCTTCTTAAATACCAGTGGCAATCGAGATAGATTGGTGGGTCCACTGTGAAAGCCTCAGGCTTAGGAAACAAGAGCTTTTGACTTTCCTTGGCAGTCTTTCCCTCTGCTGTTCACGTCAGCTGTGTGCGGCCTTTTGGGGAGAAAATCTTCAGACACGTGGCTTCCTAGACCAAGTGTAGGCACGCGTGCTCCTTCATGATACTTTGGGTACTAATATTTGGTGTTAGGTAATGTTTGCTTTTGTACCTGTGTCATGAATGGATTAATTTCTGTGAAAAAGGTGATAAAAAACCAAACCTACTACCGTTGAGTTGATTGACTCATAGCGACCCCATAAGAGTTTCCGAGGCTGTAAATCTCTGCAGGAGCAGACTGCCACATCTTTCTTCCGCAGAGCCACTGGTGGTTTCAGACCACCAACCTTTACGTTAGCAGTTGATTGCTTTATCCACTGTGCCACCAGAGCTCCTTAAAAAGGTGATACCAAAAAACAAAACAAAACAAAACAAAAACCAAACCTGTTGCCGTCAAGTCTATTCCGACTCATAGTGACCCTGTAGCTATCCACAGAATCACGTGTCTGTGTCTTAATAGAAGTCTTGAAGGAAAGCTCTCAGGAGAGTGCAGTTCTGCCACATCATTGTATGGATTTTGTTAGAAAACTGATAATTGCAATGTCAAATCAGCCAGCCTCAGTCTTAGAGTGCTGTTTCCAGTTTAAATAATCTTAAAACCCCTTTATGCATTAAACAGATTCCTTTATTTAGTGTTGTTTCCAACTAAGCTTTCAGAAACTAACCTCATCAAATGACTCACTGGTGATAGGAGATAACTTTCTTTTTTTGAATTATGGGGAAAAAAAAAAAACACGTAATTAATGTCACTGAATGGTACATTTAAAAGGTTGAAATGGCAAATATTTTGTTCCATATATATTTACCACAATAAAAAAAAGCTCAGTTTCTATTTAGATTCAAGTCACTCCTATATGTATATACTGTATTTTCTTATACTTTGTCTTACACTCTCTGAGATATAAGCAAAAGGGCTGATACTGAGTCTGTTTTGACTTGTTTTCTCTATTAAGCCCTGTATAGTGCTATAATGAGCATGTGTAAATGCTTGTAATAAATGGGTATTCAGTAATGGTATTTGCCTATCCTTTATGTGATTTTAAACAAACCAAAGAAAGTATTTTGTACCCAGTGCTCTGCTTTGTAACCATAGCTTTCACATTTTCTGGGACATTCCTGACTTAAAATTATTTGTATTATTGATCCTGACTTCTGCTCCTCAGCCCACATGCCCTTCTTAATTTTCTTTATTTTGTTGTCATTGAGAATATACACAGCAAAACATACACCAATTCAACAGTTTCTGTATGTACCATTAAGTGACACTGATTGCATTCTTTGAGTTGTGCAACCATTCTCACCCTCCTTTTCTGAGTTGTTCCTCCCCCATTAACATAAATTCACTGCCCTCTAAGTTTCCTATCTAATCTTTCAAGTTGCTGTTGTCACTTTGATCCCATATAGATAGTTCTTAAAAGAGCACAATGCTCAAGGCAGACCTTTTTTACTAGTTAAGCTAAACTATTGTTTGGTTATAAGAAGACTTCAGAGGATATTTTTGGTTTAAGGTTTAAAGTTTATCTCAGGGTAATAGTTGTAGGGGTTCATCCAACATACAGGGCTCCAGGAAATCTGGATTCCATGAGAATTTGAAATTCTGTTCTGCATTTTCCCTCTTCTGATCAAAGATTCTTCTATAGAATCTTTGGTCAAAATGTTCAGTAATGGTAATGGGGCACCATCCAGTTTTTCTGGTCACATGGCAAAGGAGGCAGTTGTTCATGGAGGCAATTAGCCACACCTTCCATATTCTGCTCCTATTCCTGACTCTCCTTCTTCGTTGTTCCAGGTGAATAGAGACCAATTGCTGTGCCCTGGATGGCTGCATGCAAGCTGTTAAGACCCCAGGCACTATGCATCAAACCAGGAGGTAGAACAGAAGCACTAAACATATTGTTAGGCCAGTTAAGTGGGATATCTCATGAAACCATTACCCTAAACCTCAAAGCCAAGAAACCAAATCCCGTGAGGTTTTTGGTTGTACGTACGCAGGCTTTGCAGCAACTCTTTTTTTTTTTTGTAAATATATCACACAGTTTTAGCCAATTCAACTTTTTCGAGATGTACAACTTAACTGACATCAATTACCATAATTGGCTGTGCAACCCTATCCTTAATTAACACGATATTTCCATCATAGTTAACTTGTTTCCCCTTCCCTCTCGCCCATGGTAACCACTAATAAACTTTTTTCTCTATACATTTACCATTTCTTGTCTTTTTATATAAGTAAAGTCATACAGTATTTGCCCTTTTGTGACTGACTTATTTCACTCAGCATAACGTCTTCTGGCTCCATCCATACTGTAGCATGAATCAAGACTTCATGTCCTCAACTGGCTGAATATTATTCTATTGTGTGTGTGTGTGTGTGTGTATACCACATTTTATTTATTCATTCATCTGTTGATGAGCATTTAGGTTGTTTCCACCTTTTGACTATCGTAAATAGTGCTGCAGTGAACATTGGTGTACTAGTATCCGTTTGAGTCTCTGCTTTCATGTCTTTTGGGTATATACTTAGGAGTGGAATTGCTGGGTCATATGGTAGTTTTATTTTTAGTTTTTTGAGGAACCGTCACACTGTTTTCTACAATGGCAGTACCATTTTGCATTCCCACCAGCAATGGGTAAGGGTTCCAGTTTCCCCACGTCCTCGCCATCATTTGTTATTTCCTGTTTTTTTTCTCTTAGCCATCCTAGGAGTCCCCTTATTATTTTTGCTTCAGAGAATATAATAAGCCTCTGTGCTTAGAGAAAGGATCCCTGCTGGTGCAGTGGGTTAAGCACTTGGCTACTAACTGAAGGTCGGTGGTTCAAACCCACCAGCTCTCCATGAGAGAAAGATGTGGCAGTCTGCTTTCATAAAGATTACAGCGTTGGAAACCCTGTGGGGCAGATCTACTCTGTCCTGCAGGGTTGCTATGAGTCGGAGTCGACTTGATGGCAGTTGGTTTCGGGTGGATGTTTAGAGAGTATTTGTTGAATGAATGAAAAATGCTCTTGTAGTTGTTTACAGTTGCTTTATATATTTGATTTTCATTTTATTTGCTTGTTCATCTACTTATGTTTGTAGTAGCTAGATGCTTAGGTTGATATTTAATGAACCGGTCCAGATATCTTTTTAGTTCTTATTCTAAAAGAGTATTTTCTTTCTTTGTATTTTGATTGAAAAATAGGTTTATATCTTCCCCATGGTGTTTACCATGATATTTTATATACAACAGGTGATAATAAATTGACATTGAATTACATTGCTGTGCTGTATATCTGATACATTTCCAGTCTTTTCCTGGCTACTTCTTGCAGCAGTAGTTTTTAGCTTTCTCCCTACACATTACACATGTGATTAACACATTCTTTTATGCACCTTCAATTTCGACAAAAGTTCAAAATATTTTTTCAGGAAAGTAAACCAAATAGCCCCAAAGGGGTGTTATGTGTGTGTGCACATCCACGTGCATGTGTGTGTACATGTATGTGTTTTAAGAAGACTGTTTTTGTTAGGTGCTTTTGAGTTGCTTCCGACTCAGCAACCCTATGCACAACTGAACAAAATACTGCCCGGTCCTGTGCCGTCCTCACAATCATTGTTTTGCTTGAGCCCATCGTTGCAGCCACTGTGTCAGTCCATTTCGTTGAGGGTCTTCTCCTTTTTTGCTGACCCTCTGCTTTACCAAGCATGATGTCCTTCTCTAGGGGGTGGTCCCTCCTGATAACATGTCCAAATTACGTGAGACGAAGTCTCGCCATCCATGCTTCTAAGGAGTATTCTAGCTGTACTTCTTCCAAGACAGATTTGTTCGTTCTTCTGGCAGTCCATGGTATAGTAAATATTCTTTGCCAACACCATAATTCAAAGGCATAAGAAGACTGTAGTGTTCTTACAAGTTATTTTATTGGTATATGAGTAACAAAACATTCTATTCATAGGCATAGATATACTCTTCTTTTCTTCATCTGTTCTTACCCTTTTCCCGATTGAACAGTTTATCTATGTGCAAGAGAAAAGAGAATGTGGAAAATCTTGTTGAGTGAATGAAAGATTTAAAAACGCCACGTGGTTGTTTCTAATCACCACAGCTTTGAATGGCTGCTCATTGGTAAGGACTGCTGCTTGGCAGCTCATGGGCTCTGACATTAATGAACTTGATTGTAGGATTCTTTGAGACCTGGCTATAAGTTTACCACTTTTTCCCCAGTTATATCATAATGCAGTGAGGGATAGCATTGCTATTATAGGAAAGGTCTTGTCACCATTTCTAATTCGTAAAAAGCACAGTATTTGCAAATGTTGATGCTTTCACTATTTTTGGTAAGAAATTACTTGTAACATACCAGAATCTCTTACTGAGCATCAGGACACTGAGTGTTGCAATACCAGAGTGTGGGATTGTTGAAGTTGAGATGGGTTTGCTGCTTTGCAACACTGAGTGAAAGAGGAAGAAAGTTTTGGTGGTAGAGTGCCTTGCCTAATGTTACCGTAGTAGATTTGGGATTGAAACATAGGCTGTATTTGTCAGTGACAAATTTGTCCATTTTAGGGATGATAATGACCTATAGAAAATTGATGGTTTTGCTATGCTGTGACCTTTGTTGTTGACCTTGTGTAGAGATGTACTCTTTATTCTTTATTATTGGTCTTTGCTATTATTTACATTACATTGCATCCTAAATGTTATAATGAATTGGTAGCAACTCTGATAGGATTACATTGTTTTTGGAGAGCTTAAAAAAACATGGTAATATAATTAAAGTTCTCTGATTTTTTTTTTTTTGACCTTAGGTAACTCTTTATGCAGGATGAATTAAGAGAAAAGGATACTGACTAATTAGGAATGGAGAGCAGTTTGTCAGTTTCCAATATGCAAGACCCTTCATCTTCACCCTTGGAAAAGCATCACAGCTCAGCCAATGGTAATGGAGATCTTGATTCAGGTAGGATTATGTTTTCTGGATTCATCTGGCCTTTTGATTTATTGACCAATATGTTCCTGAAAATGTTCAGGAAACAATGGGGCAATATTTCTAGACCTCACATACTGCCTGTTCCTAGAATTTGCTGTCATATTTATAAGCATATAGCAGCTTTAAAGTTATGCAAGGTTTGGTTCAAAATTAATGTTACCTATACTAGCCAGAGCAGGCTGGGTTATACTGAGATAACATCTGACTTCAGAATCTCAATGGTTTAACACATTAAATGTGTATAAGTCATTCACACTGTCATCTGATAGATCAGTGGGGTGCCCTGTTCCACAGAGTCATTCTGCACCATGTTTCAATGCTGCCGTCTCAGCATGGTGCTTCAGGGTTTTCCATGACAGCAGAAAAGCAGAGCTGCAGGGTCTGGGACTAGCAATTAATGCTCTAGTTCTGTGTTAGAGGTTCCTGCCACTGCAAAGGAGGCAGCGATGTATAATTCTCATTTATGTGCCCAGAAGGAGAGAACAGAATCTGCCTAAACAGTAGACGCTGCTACCACGAAACCCTTCTTTAGACTCTTGAGCCTGTCTTTCATGCAAAGTATATAACGTGAAATTTAGATCATGTGAATTTGTCGTAAAGTGTTTTCTCCTTTAAGACATTCAAAAGAAAAAGCTTTTGACTGAATTTTAATATTTATGCATTTATAAATGGATCCTTTTCTGAATACTTACACAATAGAGAGTTTATTTTAAAACGATTAAAAAAAAAAAGAATTATATTGTTCACATAGCAGCAAATTAAATAAGGACCACTTAGCTGTTTGTGTCCGTAAACATTTGGTATGATGAATTCATGTAAAAAAAAAAAGTTGATCATTAACTAAGTTGGATATTTGACTTGTCCAAAGAAGTTATGAAGTTTGTCTTCACATTTGGATGAAACCAGTCAATGACACAATTATAGATTGTTAGCTGTTGTTGAATTTAATAGATTAAGTTTCTCAAATTTTATCTTTATCTGGAAAATATCTGTAAAACCCTGAAATGAGTGATTGCCTAGATATGTTGAAAGATGTCAGTGTTTGTTTCACAATCCACTTAGTCCTCCCCCTTTCAGATCTTCTGCATGTAAAGCAGGAGTGAGGAAGCAACTACTTATAACAGTAGAGTTGAATCATTTTCCTTTGGACATGGAAGCATGTAAATTCCTTTGAGACAGCTTAGTCCTGTAGGCTGAAGGTTCATTCCTGATTATTCTATTTTTATTTAACTACAAATATGCCTTTCAAAAGAAAAGCCTTTCTTATGTTTGCTGAGTGAGGTTATTTTTCCACTTTTGGAGTCTCTGACCTTTCATCATACTATTTGTAGTATATCATCCCCACACATCTGACACCTACTCCTGCATCCTTTTCAGTGGTATGTTGTCAAAACTGTTTAGAGGCCAACTATTTATTGACTTTTCATTTTCATGCAGGTGCAATATCTCTCTCAAGCTTAAGTAGCTTCTGAAACTCATTAGCGATAATTTGGTGTCAGAAAAATCATCTGTACTGACTTTTTCCTGAGAATGATTCTACATCATATATGAGGAAGTATTAGAGCTTGATTCATTGTATCATTGGCTAGGGTATTTATGGTGAAAGCCTACTATATACTTAACTTCAGGATTAGTTGCTGGCTGTTGTGTAGGGTACAGCCTAAATCATGGAAGATGTTAAGATGTTTAATAGAAATAAAAAAAAAACAAAAAAGCAAACCTGTTGCCATCAAGTCAACTGCAACTCATAGTGACTGTATAGGACTGTAGGACAGAGTAGAACTGCCCCATAGGATTTCCAAGGAGCAGCTGGTGGATTCGAACCACTGACCTTTTGGTTAGCAGCCAAGCTCTTAATCACTGCGCCACCAGGGCTCCTTAATAGAAATAGTATTTCTAAATAGCTCTGAATTATCTTAACATTTATTAGAGATTTGCTCTCCTCCACCCCACCCCCGACCCCCCCGGTTGCTAATCTGTCCTTTTTTCCTTGGAATTGCCATATGTTTACTTGTACTGTGAGAGGACTCTCAGATGATACCACCAAGACAGACTCATTTAAAGAAGAAATAGATTTAGAGTAGAGTCAAAAACTTTGTAGAGAACAGAGGCTGACTTTATTCTAGAAAGTCAAATCTAATAGCATTTAAACCAATAATAACAGAATCAAGTATGATTCTTCAAGTAGTTTACTTTTTTTTAAAAGAAAATATTTCACTTTTAGAGGAGCCCTGGTGACACAAATGGTTAAACGTTTGACTATTAATGGAAAGGTTGGCGGTTCCAACCTGCCCAGTGGCTCAGTAGGAGAAAGACCTGGTGATCTGCTTCTGCGAAGAGTTACAGCCAACTGAACCCTATGGGGCAGTTCTACCCTGTAACATGGGGTCGCTATGAGTCGGAATTGACTGGACAGCACCTAACAACAACAGGTCACTTTTACCTGTTAATATATAAAATATTTTCACTTCTGCAATCAATTGTGGGGCTGTCTGGTCCTGGGAGTAACTGTGACGTGTTTACTACTGTTTAGAGGCTTTAGTGCTGAGGGTCTTTTCCCTGAAGAGTTTTCAGATGAGATTTCTGTATTGTATGTACAAGAGAAGGCAGTGTTCTTCAGCAAGTTCTAAATTGACTTGCATGTGAGGAACAAAAGCTATATGATATCATGAGTTCAAATAATGTGGTAAACACTTTTTAAGTACTTTGCATGCATTAACTCACCTACTCTTTCAAAAATCTGGTGAAATAGCTGCTTTTATTTTGCCCATTTTATGGCTGAGGACATTGTTCAGATAGCAAGGTTAAGTCACTTGGTTAATGTGTTGGTGCCAAGATTTAATCTCAGACATCCTGGCTCTGAAGCGTGAGCTGTGAAACGCTTGGCTGTACTGCCCCTTCAGTATAAGGATAAGACATCAGGAAAACCATCATACGTAAATGTACTTACGCATGCACGTAAATGTACTCACGCATGCACGTAAATGTACTCACGCATGCACGTAAATGTACTCACGCATGCACGTACGCAGGTATGCACGGGCAAAGCACGAATGCACGCACTTATGCACGTACGCAGGAATGCACGCAGGCGCGGTCACACGTATGGACGTATGCGCGTGTGGGCGTAGGCGCGTGTCCACGTAGTTACGTGTGCACATGTGTGCCGCACACAGTTTGTGGGACTTAGGCACAGTTCAGATTCTCCTTTTTTCGGTCCTTTCTCTTCCGATGTATTACATGGTACATTACTGCATCTGCCTGACAATTTCCAGACGTGTCTGTAGCTCTTCTCTGACAAAATTATGCGGCCGAAGAATGGAGAATCTTACCTGATTGCTCCAGGGTGTTTTTATCTTGGGCTATTTGGTTCCTTCCACCCCCACCCCTGGCTGCTGTGATTTTTTTACAGTAGATGATGCCTCCAAAATGAAAACGTCAGCTTGAAACAGTAGACTTCGACTCTCATTACCAGCTTTTTTGCCTCTTTTTCTGCGGAAAGCTCGAATAAGAGTTGGGATCAATAACTGACCCAAGTCCTGTAAATGAAATAGGCACAGCATAAAATTACTCTTCCTCCCATGAACACTAAAAACGTGACTGGAATGAGCGAGCACAGAGAGATGAGGTAGCCCAGGAACAGAAGGCCTCTTCAGCAGACAAAATTGACAGTGTTATCACAAGGAACACAAAGTGGGAAAATGTACCAAAATTTTATTTCTGGAATTTTAGGCTTCTTCTTTGGCCGTGATAAAAGCAAGCAAAACAATATGCTGACATAGTGATAAATAGATTTCTTGATATTATTTTTACAGCCCTGCTAAATGTAATTTCCTGATGAAGTCTGTAGATAAAGTGGTGTTGCAAATTTAGGCTGGGCAAGCCTTTGAGTAAAAAGAATTATGCTGAAATTGTGGGCTTGATTTTGTTGTTGTTGTTAGGAATACATCAACCAGAGTACCATAGCTCCTTTTATTTTGGAAGGAAAGGAGTCAACGTTCTTATTAGAAAAATTCGGATCTTTTACTCTTCATGCAGGGAACTAGTTCCTTGTGCTTCTACAATATTCCCTGTTTTCTAACTCTTTTGAATAGTTATTGCTTCCACCAGCTAGGTGATCTTTACATTTTTTTTTTTCTTTTTCTAGAAAAACTATTTGATCATCTGGGTGGTTGTGATGGCCGCAGGAGCCTTTGTATTAAGATGACCACTGTCCATTGCTTTCCCAGTCCCTGCTTCTCTCCTCTTCTCAGCAGACTTGCGGAGAATTTTTCCTTGTGGGGCAGCCTGCAGTTGTGAAGTCAGTTTTGGGATCTTGGCTCCAGTTCTCATCTGGTTGTTTATACTGTTGTTTCTGTTTAGTATACTGACAAATGAACTATTTTCTAGAATTTGTGATAGTATGAATTGACTGTCAATAGTTAAAATAACAAAGATTTATTTATTTTTTTCTCTTTCCACTTTTGTAAAAATACCTAGCACATAAAGAAGGTGCTCAGTAAGATTTTGTTCATTCTGAATCTACCAACTCTTAACTTCTTTATGGAATAGTACGTGGTTATGAGCTTTATGTTCAATCTTGCAAAAGTTGGCCTTATTTCAGATTGTAAAATTGTCCAATCTAAGATTTAATTACTTAAAGAAATACACATGAGTAGTTTGTTTATTCTCACTGTAAAGTCACTTGTACTTGAACTTTTTAGTAAGGTATTCTTTTTTATTTATTATGAAATAATCTGGTCACTTAAATAGCTTTTCTGTTTTCTAAAACTGGATTGCCACTAATTTACACGCCTGTTTTCTTTTAAATTGTGAAATTTTCTTAGTAGCTTTTCACAGCCTGTTTTCATTACATCATGGGGAAGTGCCTCCTAGTAGTTCATTTACAGAGGAGGGAGATTGTCAGAGTTTCCTTGATAAAATGTTCATGGGTTTAAGAGGTTTATGAATCAGCTGTAAATATTTGCTCTGGGTTTATGAGACCTCTACTCATAAACATTTTGTGTGTTTATCTATTGCTCATTGAAATGTCTTTAGAGAATCAGCTGCTTAGGGCACATACATCCGAAGAAGTGTTATATGTTACCGATTTTAAAAGGCTCTATTGTGAGTAGCCTTAAATTTTGTATATAATTTTATTATTAAAATAGCACAGTTAAAAGTTGCTAGTCCTAGCACAGTTAAAAATAAAAGGTAAATGTTTTTTAATTTTTTTGAATCCCATTCTAGGTCTGACTTTTGGGGGTATTTTTAAAGGTGTTTTCTTTAGACCAGCAGAGAGCAACAGTGCCTTCTTGTATTCTGTTCTTATGGACTCCCACTTGAGAGACACAGCAGTACCCTGTGACCACATGGTTAGCTTGAATGAGTACATGATGGAGTGCAAAAGCATTTAACAGCCTGTTACACTGGGAGAAGAGACTGGAAATGTAGTTTGTAACGAATTAAAAATTGATGGAAACAAAATTTTTGGTATAATACTTATACCTTAGATTAAAATTGTATAAAGAATAAAGAACTGCAAGAAAAGGTCTCGGAGTCGAGGCTGATACTTCAGGCTGTGGTCTTCCCCTCACCACTGATTTGAAGTGATAGAATATTGAGGGTTAGGTGGTAATGGTAAAGAGGTTCATCCAGGCCTTCTGATCTGAGATGATGACCACAGCAGGCAATTCTGACAATTCAGTCTTGATTTGAATGTTTTCAATGTGAAGGAACTAATCACTCAACAGGAGAGACCATTCCATTTTTAACAGCTCTCACTCTCAGAAAACTTTCATCATGGACCTTGACCCAGGACTTTTGGCTTCTTAGGCATGGGCTGAGTTTTATGCCCCCACCGTCTTCCTGGGTTCTCTTTTCCTTCCTTACAAACAGGTTCCAGGTATTCTGTCCACTCCATTCTCCTCTTGGAGGATGGCTGCTGCCTCCCACCCTACCTTGTCTCCTGGGTCTTCTCTCTGCCTGATTTTGGCTGAGAAGTGTTTAATGCTCACCAATTCAGAGAAGCTGATAAGGCCTTGAAGGCTACTTTGGATTCTCCAGGTGGAGAAATGGTTGGTCACTGTGGGGTGGTTTCTGATGCAGAAGAAAAGTATGATGAAGGCAGAGGAATGACATAGTAAGGTGCTTAACTTATTAAGAATGCCAGCTTCAAAATCAGACAGCCTGCGTTGAATTCCCGACTGAGACTGAACAGTTGCGTGAGCCTAGGTGACTGATTGATATAACCTCTCTGAGTGCCAGTCATTTTTCCTGTGAGATGGAGGTAATAGTATCCATCTGGCAGGGTTCTTGGAAGGATTAAATGAGGTGATGCACATAAAGCATTTAGCAGAGAGCTGGATACACAAATACAGTGTAGCTCTTCCTACATTCCTGTGGCAGTTTGTGGTCACTTTGTGAAGCTGGACGTGCCCTCCGTAGCTGGAGCAGCAGGCAGGGTCCACATGAAGGTGTGGTTTGAGCTGAGGCTAGAAAACTAGGGTGTAAAGGAGTCGACGTTGTGTGCCCCAAGTTAGCTATCAAACAGACACAGTACCTGGCCACTTTAACAAATGAATAGTGCTGAGTTGATGCCTGTGACTAGTGGATCAGGGAAAAAACAAACTAAAAAACTTGGTAAACCTGAAGATAACAATATAAAAATAGATGTCCAGCGCTGTTTGGGGAGAGTTGCAAGCAGAGCTGCTGTGGAACAACATCCTGAGATGTTTTCCAGAATAGGACTGCTTTCTCTTTGGGTTTGCTTCATTGTGTCATGTTGTTGTTAGCCACTGTCAGATTGGTCCTTGACTCATGGCAGCCCTAGGTGTTACAGAATAGAACTGCTCCATAGGGTTTTCTTGGCTGTAATCTTTACAGAAGCAATTCACCAGGCCTTTTTCCATGGAGTCACCGGGTGGGTTCGAACTTTTAGGTTAGCAGCCAATTGCAAAGCGCTTGCACTACCCAGACTCGTAACTCACTGGGTCTTAGCAGCTCTGCCACCCGTCCCCCTGACATCCTTGTTAGCTGGTGGCTGTAGGAACTGATGATTTCCTTTACGGAGCACATTTCTACTTTAAGTGCATAAATCTCTGGGTGAAGCAGAGGGTTGGGAGAGGTACAAAGGAAAGGTTTTTATCTTCAGATGACTTTTTTCCCCTTGGTCATTTGACTGTAAACCACTTTATTGGAGTAAAATTTGAGGAGGCATTTCTAAGCAACTTGGATTTATGATAAATGGTGAAATTGATGGTGAAAATTAAGGTAACTGCCTTTCAACTCAGCATCTTCTGACTTTTTAACAGTTATTCTCTTCTATCAATTTCTGAGGCTGTAGAGTATTACCAGCGAATTACTTTCCCCTGTTATAATTTTAAAATCTCTGGTAGAAAAAAGATACTGATAGTCTCCAAGCACGTGACTTTCTTCCTTAGACCCTCCTGTTACTGAATCTCCCGGCCGACCTGCTAGGATATACCACTTCTACATTAATAACCTACCACCTGTCTGTCATCTTGTTGCACTATGCAGGCTTGGGTGTTGTTACGATGCTAGAAGCTATGCCACCAGTATTTCAAATACCAGCAAGGTCACCTCTGGTGGACAGCTTTCAGCAGAAATTCCAAAGTAGGACAGACTAGGAAGAAAGGCCTGGCAATCTATTTTCAAAAATTGGACAGTGAAAACTCTATGACTCGCAACAGAATATTGTCTGTTATACTGCTGGAAGATGAATCCTTTAGGTTGGAAGTCACTCAAAATACACAGTGGCCGAAATACTGGACTTGAGCAAACCAGCGATCGTGACGATGGCAATGTTTTATTCTGTTGTACATGAGGTCACCAGGAGTCGGAGCTGACTTCACAGCAGCGAACAACAACATTAATAACATGTTGGAAATAACATTTATTGTTCTTGGCCAGTGAAATAAGCTGTTACTAGTAGAAGATACATGGGCTGAACATCCACTGAAAATTATTGCAAGAGAAGAGAATCTAAACTTTTGGAGCTCTTACTTGTTTGCAGATTTGGATAGCCCAACTACTGTATGTTCTTTCCTTATGATAGCCCTGCAAATAGGTTGAAATAATGTTTACAGCTTACCACTTCTTTCCATTTGAAACTATGATATAGCATTTAAGTTATCTATACTTTAAAATACATTATCTGGTGCTTTTCAGTTATGCAAGTTATATCTCATGTAGAGTCTTTAAGTGTTTTGGGAATTGTTTCAATTCCTTTAGAGACAGGGTTTGTGGGTCTGTGCAAATTTAAAATCATTTGCTTATGGTTGGGAGGAAGTTTAGGTTCTAAGAGCCGTGTTGTGCATTTCATTGTATTTTTCTTTGTTTCTTGTAATTGGAGAAACACGTGTCCCACTGGTTCTGCTGGTGTGTCTTTCCCTGAAAGTTCTATCCTGGCAGAAGGCAGGTGGAGTGTAGGCCCTTGACCTGGTGGGCATCAAGAGTCTGTCTGACAACCAGTGGGTCTGTTTCTGTTGCTAACTTGCTGTGTGGCCTTAAATACTTGCAGAGCCTCTGGGCCTTACTTTTCTTTTCCTTAGAATGACATTGGATTCAATGGTTTTTAAAATCCTCTATAGCCCTAACAATGTATAACATTATTTATAATCTCCAGCTTCCATTACATGACTGTGAGCACAGTAAGGAGCCAGTGGGCAAATAGTGCTGGTGTGGTATGTCTGTCCTGGCGCTTTCTCACTTCCCAAGGGCTTCCTTCACCTTGTTCTCTAACCTCCCCAAAGATTGAGGTGTCTACAATAGCTAATTTCAAACTGATACACTAAAATGTAGCAACTAAGCTTTGAAACAAGTCTCATTCGGTCACCCAGGAGCACCTAATTTTACCCTTAGTTTTGTCAGGGTAGTTAAGGCAGAATTTCTTCGTGTTTCCTTTCTTTAGCCAGTGTCTCTAAAGTCAGCAAACTGAAGCTATACAAAGAATTCAGCAAAATCTTGTTAAAACCTTTGAGATATTTTGTCTCTTTCATTAAGGATTTTCTGTTCTTTTTTGAAAGGCTAATGCTTTTCCATTCTTCACTATAATGTTGATATTCTTTTTTTTTCTTTTCTGACAGAAGGTTCAAGCTTGGAGGAAATCGGCTTTAATTGGGGAGAATATTTGGAAGAAACAGGTGCAAGTGCGGCTCCTCACACGTCTTTCAAACATGTATGTAAAGTACTTTGTCTCCTCCTTCTCATCTTCATTTAGAGGGTTGGAGGTGAATTTACAGACGATTCCGAATAACCGATGAGAAGAGGGGAATGAATATAAAAGGGAGATTCAGCCAAGATTTCTTAGAAATAAAGATGAAATGTGGAAGGTTGGTTATTTTTCGTGCAGGGAAGATGGACCTTGCTCTTGCAGCTTGTCTACTACGATGGGGTTGGCTCCTGAAAGCACATTGGCCAGGAAGACATCTCATCTAATCTGTGACTGGGCTCAGGGTGGGTGCTCATTGTGAGTGAAACTGTGTGCAGTTTTATCTTTGTTACATGCTTAAGAAGGAAGCCCTGGTGGTGCAGTGGTTATATGCTCGACTGCTAACCAAAAGTTTGGTGGCTTGAACCCACCAGCTGCTCCATGGGAGAAAGATGTGGTAGTCTGTTTCTATAAAGATTACAGCCTTGGAAACCCTATGGGAAAGTTCTGCTCTGTCCTGTAGGGTCGCTATGAGTTGGAATTGATTTGATGACAATGGGGTATATGCTTAAGAAAGCAAAACTAGATGTGGCCCTTGCCTACTAGGCATATAGCCTGAGACAGGTAAGGTTAATTTGAATAAATAAACCAGCAAAGTGGACAAATAGCTGTGATGTGTAATGTCTTGCTTTATATTTTTATTTTGATTTGGTGTTTTTATTTTGAAATGACACATAAGCGTTTTAGAGCCATTTGTGGACAGATGTATCAAACTAGAGGAAATAACCCTAAATATTCAGAAAACATTTGAATAAAACTTAAAAGTCACTCTCATCAACAATATTTCTTTCAGTAAAGTCTCAGAAAATAAAAAAAAGTTTTTATCAGATTTTTGCATAGGCATGAAATTTTGATAATATATCATTAGCAAAGAGAAGACTATGTTTCCAGAACACAAGGTCTTAGGCATTACTATTGCTTTAATGGAAATAACATTTTAATTCTGAGAAACATTTTCTTATTAGGCTGCACAAGGCAAAGATTTAACCTGAGTATTATGAGCAGATTGGGGAACTTTCTTAACCTTTGGGCTCCTTTGCTGACCTAGAAAGCCAAGATTTTGTTTCTTTATTTTAATAAAATACTTCATCCTTTCTGGAGGTTAAGTGTTCTTTTGAAAAGGAATTTAAGGCCTTTCTAAAAATTTGTGTGATGTTGTAAATATAGATATTTCCATTTCTCTTTTTATACTGATACACAGAAATATTATAGTTACAAATTCATTATGAATGTGATTATGGCCATTTAGTAAAATCAATAGCTAAATATTAAAACATAGCAAAAGCCTCCTTGGTGTACAGTGTGGATATCCTCCCAAAGCTTTTTTTAACATTTACATCTTTAGATACTGTGATGATTTGTTGGTTTTCTTAAGGCATTTTAGAAAGAGACATTGCCTGACAATTATTTTTGTTTTTGTTTTTTCTGTTGTCAGTATCTCTCTGTATGGAGTCACTCCTGTTCTCTTTAATGCAATCAATTCTCCCACTTCCCTTTCAGTCACAATATAGTGTCCTGGAAGAGAGTGCTGAAGTCTTTCCTTCAGGGTTCAGAATTTTCCCAGGCCTATATGCTGAGATTAAAAGGAAAGATAGCATTGGATCCATGGACAAGTAATTTATAATCCCATCATCTCCTTTAAGCAACTGCTTCTCATGGACATCAGATATTTTAGCTTTGGAATATTATGTTCCACCAGACTGGAAAGGTTTTTTTTGGGGCAGGGGGTAGGGTGCGGTAGAGTTGGTAAATATTAGTAGACTGTAATCCTAATTGGGACCCTGGTGGTACAGTGGTTAAGTATTTAGCTGCAAACCAGAAGGTCGGCAGTTCGAATCCACCAGCTGCTCCTTGGAAACCGTATGGGGCAGTTCTCTGGTGCAGTGGTTAAGCGCTTGGCTGCTAACTGAAAGATTGGTGGTTCGAACCTACCCAGAGGCTCCTTCCTCTGAAGAAAGACCTGGTGATCTGCTTCCGTAAAGATTACAGCCTAGAAGACCATATGGGGCAGTTCTACTCTGTCACATAGGGTTGGTATGAGTTGAAATGGACTCGGTGGCACCTCGCAACAGCAAATAACCCTGATTAAAAAAAGAAAATACATTTTTCAGGGCTGTGCAGTTCAACACAATAGCCACTGGTCACATGAAGCTATTGAACACTTGAAAATTGTCTAGTCCAAATTGAGATGTGCTGTAAGTGTAGAATACACACTGGATTTTGAAGACTTCATTCTAAAAGAAGAACGTAAAATATCTCATTAATATTTTTAAAATTGATTACTTGGTGAAATGATAATACTTTGGATATATTGCACTAAATGAAATGTATTACTAAAATTAATTTCATCTGCTTAGGTTTGCTTTTTTATTGTAAGTACTAGAAAATTTAAAATTACATTTTTTGGCTTATATTATATTTCTGTTAAAAAACCCATTGCTGTCGAGTCGATTCCAACTGATAGCGACCCTGTAAGACAGAGTAGAACTGCCCCATAGGGTTTCCAAGGAGCAGCTGGTAGATTTGAACTGCCGATCTTTTGCTTAACAGCCATAACTCTTAACCTCTGCAGCTCTATGAGACATTGCTATTTTAGGGAAACAGAAATAATGTTTTTAAGTCCTGTGTTTTTTAATAGTTCTTGTAATCCTCTGCACACATGTATCTGGTATAATAATGGTTTTCGTATGTTTCTGATTCCTTAAGGTTGAAATCAGCATTCAGAGCAACTTCCAGCCAGGAATGAAATTGGAAGTCGCCAATAAGAACAACCCAGACACTTACTGGGTGGCTACCATCATCACAACCTGTGGGCAGCTGCTGCTTCTGCGCTACTGTGGTTATGGGGAGGATCGTAGGGCTGACTTCTGGTGTGATGTGGTGATAGCAGATCTCCACCCGGTGGGGTGGTGCACACAGAACAACAAGGTGTTGATGCCACCGGATGGTAAGCTCTGTGCACCCCGGCAACAATCTGGGCACATTTCGAAGGCTTTTGAGTTACAAGCAATTGTCATTTTTACTACCTGTAGTCATTGTAGGGGCAGAGAGAACCTTGTAGACGATCGATAACTGTTTTAGTAGACAGATGGCTTTCTCTTTAAAAACTGCTTCCTGAGTTTCATTAGCTAGAGGACACTGGAGTGAGGGGGAAATGGGTGCATATTCAGATGTTAGAGCTGGATTTGACAGTTCAGCCAGCAGTGGCCTCTAGGAGATGAAGCTTTTGAGCATAATCCTCAGATTGCTTTTTGAGGGTAGGAAAGGAAGGCTGAAGGGATGCTAATGATTGGGTCTTGTTTTCTCTTTGCTGATTGATTCCGCTACTTTTCTTTTGCTTTAGAGATTTGACATTTTGAGCAGTACTGTAGAACATCTTAAATAGACTTCTCTAATGAGTGTTAATCTGTCTTGTGGAGGGACTGTCAAGGTGTGAAGCATGTAGAAAACCAGATAGATGAGGAGAAATAACATCACTCTCAAGGGAATTGTCAAAGCTTGTACAGATAAAATCAGTTTATTTGCTAGAAAACAGTGGTTCTCCACCAGGGCAATTTTACTCACCAGGGGATGTTTCGCAATGTCTGGAATCATTTTTGGTTTTCATTACTGGGAGGGAGAGGTCGTGTGCTACTGGTGTCTAGTGGGAAGAGGCCAAGGATGCTGCTAAACATTCTGCAATGCACAGAGCAGTCTCTGCGTCTCACGCCGCTGCCTCCCGCCCTCCCTACCGCCCCAGCGTAGACTTTACTTGGGTCAAACTGTCAGTAGTGCTGAGGTTGAGAAAGAATGAGCTGCATTTTACACATGCACTAAAGAAACTCATCTGATCCTAGAGCGAGAATGACTGAGTCACTAGGTATTTGCATTTCAACACCTTTTTCTCTGTTTTTTCATATGATAGTGGCAACTGTTGTACTTGAAAACTTTTCACGCTCTCTCAAGTTTGAGTAATATCTTCTTAGTACCTAACTGTATATTTTTATTTTGAATTGGTATCTTAGTTTTGAAATGACATAGACAAGTTTCAACTAAGGTAAGTTTTAGACTTTTCCATGTCATTTCAAAACTAAGTTTGAATTTTTTTTTTTGTGTTTAAAGTTTTGACATAGTTTTCCTGATTAGTAGCTTTTGCTACACTTTGTGTTATGTGTAATTGAAGGCCTGCTAAGGAGGAGTGTAATAAATGGCAAGGAGTTTACGAGTTGCATTTATGTGACATTTGTATGGATTGAATCCACTGCTTTGGCCTCAGCTAACATCTGGACCACTTATGGTCTCAGGAGAAGGAGAAGAAGAACCTTCCTTCCTTTTTGCCTTGAGTCTTTGCACCCGTTCTTTTCTGTGTCTAGAACCTCTTTCTTCCTCTCTTCCTCAGGTTACCACCACTCCCTCCTCCACAGCTGTCAGATTATGGTGCTTCTGCTGGAAACCGAGGTCAAACTCTATCCCATGCTTACATGGCCTTATGTGCCTCTAGTCTTGATCATGATTGCAACTGTACGTCCCACCCTTTTTTCTTAATTGAGTTATAATTCACATACCATAAACACACCCTTTTAAAACCACACAATTCAGTGGTTTTTAGTATATTCACAGTTGTGCAACTATCACCACTATCTAATTCCAGAACATTTTTAGCACCCCCAAAAGAAATCTCATACCCATTAGCAGTCAATCCCCATTTTCTCTGTCCCCTCAGCCCTAGTCAACTATGAATATACTTTCTGTCTCTTTATATTTGCCTCTTCTGGACATTTCACATTAACGGACTTATACATGTTGCGGCCTTTTGTTTCTGGCTTCTTTCTTTCACATAGCATAATGTTTCTGATGTATTAGCATCTCATTCCTTTTTAAGGTTGAATAATACTGCAGTCTAATGGATATGCCACATTTTGTTTTCCCACTCATCTGTTTATGGACATTTGGGTTCGTTTGAATATTCAGTCGTGTGGTTCTTTGTTTAGAATCCATTTTACCCTCTGGAAAGTAAGGTCCATGAGTGTAGGGACCTGGTGTGAGTTCACTCACCTTTGTGCCCCCAGTGCTAGCACATATTGCCTGTGCTTAAATATTTATTGAATAATTGAATGATCTAGTGATAAGGGTTTAAAATGCTGCTACATAGCAGCCAGTAGATGCCCTTAACGGAAACAATCAGTGCTATTATCATGGTGGGTAGTGTCTTAACTTTCCTTAACATTTTTTTCTTGCCTTTTGGGTCAAGTCTGTGTGCATCTTTATATCTGAGATGTTATTTCTAACATCTGTATTGAGGGATACTTTTTCAGGTGGGTGCTGTGGACGTTGCTAATGGTTCCGACTTTATTTTTAACTCCCATTCTAGTTCTGCATAAGCAGATGGTTAGGGAAGAAGCGAAATTTTGGGCTAAGCAGTATACTGTAATGCTTTAGGTAATACTTGGCTTTGCTTAGCCCCAGACCCAACCTAAATTGGCTATATGTGACACTTTTTGATCTGGCTTTCAATTAAAACAGTTACTGAGGTAAGAAGATAAGATGTAACATATGATTATTTAATTTTCCTGTTAATTCTGAAAGGAGCCCTGGTGGCACAGTGGTTAAAGCGCTCAGCTGCTAACCAAAAGGTTGGCAGTTGGAACCCACCAGTGGCTCTGTGAGAGAAAGATGTGGCAATCTGCTTCCTTAAAGACTTACAGCCTTGGGAACCCTATGGGGCAGTTCTACTCTGTCCTGTAAGGTCTCTTATCTGTCATAATCGACTTGATTTACAATGGTTTTTTTGGGAGAAGGGGGTTACTTCTGAACTATCATAAAATAAACCAGTCTTGATGTATTAGTTGTCCTGATAGACTATTAGAAAAATATCAATTCTTAGAGAAGCAGAGACACCCCAGTCCCCACTCTGCCCCTGAATACTACATAGAGACCCACGCGTACAGAGTGACACTCATATAGAGGAACACGCACTGCTCAGAAAAGGCAACAACTTGACTACCTATGGTCTGTGGAGAAAGAGAAAAAGATGCACACACATACACAGGAGGGCACAGACAGATGTGCATTTATCCCCGGGGGCGTGTACATACTTGAGGGTGCAGAGAAGGGAGAATACAGAGGGAGAGAGAGTCAGGCTCTGACTCTTGGCTGCAACCCCTGCCATGTCACTGTCCTTGCTGCTAGTGGTTTCATCATCTCATTCATGACTCGCCCTTAATGTTTGATGTGTTAATAGCTAAATCCCCTTGGAAAGGATGTAAGATGGCTTCACTTTATAATAGATTTTCTAGTGAACAGTTTTCGAGTGAAGTTCCAGGGAACTGAATTTTAACACTCTAAGAAGTAATGGGCTCATTTGGTAAAAATCCATGCTGTTGTTTGAGAACAGGGCCTAGTTTATTAATCAATTCTCCTTTCTCACTTGGTTGAAAAACGTGGCAGCATTCACAGTTTTGGAAACACCATCAAATTTGTATCCTACTGTCTTGTGCTATTAGGCAAGACACAGACGCACTTAATATGACGAATTCAAAATGAAAAATGGGAAAACCCTGTAAAAAGGGAAACTAGTCCTTCACTAGTAACGTGACTGAAGGATGTGAAGTCTGTTCAGACAATAGCAGGTTATGCTAATGTGAGGATTTCTTTATTGCTCTTTTTAAAGAACTTAAAAGAAATTTAGTAGCTAATCAATATGACTTGGAAATCTGTAGTACAGAGAACAAAGTCAGGAAATAGCAGGTTCATGGGGGCAAGAGGTTTTATTGATTGCTGTAGTACAGGATAATTATTGCTTTGTAGCCAGAGGCGGCAGTTGTTCCAGCGGGAATAGTAGAATCTATTTTTTGAACAAGGGTTCTTGTTTGTGTGGTTTTCTGTCTTAGAGAGCTAATATCATTGTAAATTCTGCAACTGTACTTGGTCGATCTTTGTTGTGGTTAGACTTAAAAGGCATCCAGAATATTAGCACGCGTCACAGCAATCCGTGACACACAGTGTTTTCATTTGGAAAGCTGTATGGTGATAGCAAGATGTTCTTACTGATCCTAGGGATCAGGGTGGTATAAAGGGAGAAACACTGTGTTTGGAGCCAGGAGATCTGGGATCTTATCTTGCCTCTACCATTAACTTAGCTATATAAGTGAGTCAACTCCCAGCTTTCTCATCTTTGAAGTGAGGGGGTTATGGTGTATAATCTTTAAAGGTCTCTTCAGTTCTGAAATTCCTTAGTTTGCGATCTTTGTAGAGGAAGGCAGGAGCAGGTGTTACCATTCCTATTTTATGTATGAGCCCTGGTGGCACAGTGGTTAAGCACTTGGCTGCTAATGAAAAGGTCAGCGGTTTGAACCCACCAGCTCTCCAAGGGAGAAAAATGTGGCAGTCTGCTTCCGTAAAGGCAGTCTGCCGCCTTGGAAATCCTATGGGGCAGTTCTGCTCTGTCCTGTAGGGTCTCTATGAGTTGGAATCGACTGGACGTCAATGAGTTTGTTTATTTTTGCATACTCAAAGGCAAGGAGAGATGAAGAATGGGATTTGTTTTGGAATCAAGAGCCATGGAAGTCTAGTCCAGGAGTCTGTATGGAGCACAGAAGAAAAGTTTCTAAGTGACTCTTGGGGGTGATAAAATTTTAATGGGATAAACTAGGTTAGGAAATTGCTGTGAGTCCCTGTAATAAAGAATTGTAGATTGTTCCCTGTTGAAATCAGAGAACTAAGAGTTATTAGTCTTTGACTGAGTAGGCAGTGGAAGCTGAGTTGAGTTGATCAGCATGTGGATGACAGCCTCACAATATGGTTGGACTAAACAAGGAGATAGGAGTATTTGGTGATTTTGCCCATTCTGTTCAGTGGGAGAAGGGAGAGGGCTATCTTTCCTTGTCAGACTAAGGCTGTAGCTCTGAGTATCTTAAGGAAGTTTTTGGATTATCCAAAGTGGCCTTATATTTTCTGAAGTCACTGCAT